GAGCTGCCAGGATGGATTCGCTTGGTCCTGATCTTTCCAACGAGCCCAGGACGATGAAAATCCATCAAGGTTGAGTAAAATCAGAATAAATTTCGTTCGGAGCTGTGAGTGCATACTCCACCAAGAGAGTCAGTGCGCTGTACGGCCAGTGGATTGGAGAAAAGGGGCTCAGCATGCAAAGGGTTAATTCGAACCTCAAATTGCCAGGCCCTAACTTCTAATTATCCAAATGCAGCCCCATGCATGCACTGATATGTATGTCAAAACGCTTGAAACCGCACGCTGAATATTTTTTGCACATTTTTATTTGCATCAACGAAACATATACTTGTTAGGTGGTCGTACTGGTCGTGCACAACGGATCATCAAAACATGTACAACGTTAACGGATCATCAAAACACTGGATCGACACAAAATCATTTTGACATCTTCATCTTCTAGTGAAGAAGTTGTCAGTCACTGCAGCTTTCCTGAAACAATTTCAACGGAAAAGAACTGCGCTGCCTAATCCGTGTCATGAAAGGCCGTCGGACAACAGCACGTCGTTCTGAAGAAAATGGAAGTGAAGTATAGGCATAGACAATGTTTACGACAATAGTGTTGTTGTGCGCCAACATCTCCGCGTATGAACTGGCGCGGCAAGAAAGGCCATCGAGATCCGCGAAGAGAGTCAGCCACCTGGAAGAAGTCGTCTTCAATCAAACCTTTGCAATTTGCCTCGCACTGGCTTAAAATAAATTTCGAGAGAAGGTGGGTTTCTTGAACGCTATAGTCCATCCTACAGCGGACCATCGATCGATTTTTGAGCTACTCTTGGGTAGAGAAGGAGAAAAGAATGAACTTCGAATTACAAGGATAGCAACTCAATCTCACTTCGAAATAAGCGTTCAAAGGACATAGCCAATGTACTGTAAACAGCTCTTCTGTACGAAGACTGGATTCGAATTATCCAACCGGCGCACTTTTCGTACTTCAAATTATGCATTCGATTTTGACTTAAAGTGACTTGCAGAAGATCGGTACGACGAAAAAGTTCGAATTACACGGAATGTTCGAATTATACCGTATTCGAATTAGAGGGAGTCTACCTGTATTTAAGGATTTCCTAAAGGATTTGGGCCTGTGACAAAAGAGTAGTAATATTTCCACTAAAACTCGCCCAAAGGGTGCCCGGTAGACCGAAGTGCCCGTAACTTCAGTGTCGGGATAACCGGGGTATGTTATGAGTGTACATGAAAAGTAGACAGGTGGTTGGTGATTGTTGAGAGGAGGCAGTTAATACATGCCACTAGTCAGTATGTATACTTACTGGCAATAACTTGAACACTTGTTGTAGAAAGCATCAGCGGTAGCACCATTAGCACCACAGCAGGGTGCCAGTACGCCGACAACTGTACATCACAATAACACAGCGAATGAAAACATCCTTGATGCTCCGTGCAAGGTTCTCGCCGAAGTTCAACCACCAAAGTGTATAGAGATACAGCGCACGGGTATGCAACTAGACAGCTGAAGGTGAGAGCACAACTCAAGAGGTTTGTTTGTTTGTTTATTTTATTTTACTTCACCAAGTGAACAGCCTGATAACATCGGACCCACTGTGAATTAAATTTTAAGGATATTGTGGAAACAGTTTCCTCTGAGACAAAAATGCGATAATACTCATAAAAAGGACACACTTCAGGCTCATTACAAACATCTTGAAAGTTTTTGTCTTCACAAGTATACTTTCAAGCCTTCTCATCAGGTGAAATACAGGCAAGGGAAAAGGAACAGGAACAGTGGATTAAATACAGTAAGAAGGTAGTAAAACAGCGCAAAAAGAAAGAAAGAAAGAAGATAGCTAAAGTAAACAGCGAAAATTGCAATAATGATACAAAGGTGCAAATGCGAGAAAACTCAATAAGCGCGACATGTAGTGCGACAACAAGAGACAACCACTGGACATACATGTAACTAACGAGGTTTTGACGACCTACCTAACAGCCTAAGTGTGAATTTGATTTGTTTCTGCTTGCAAAGGTTGGGTTTCCTTGTGTGGATGTATACAGCTTCCAAAACATTCAGCAAGCTAGCACTGCGTACACGTGACACAATCGAAAAACAATCATCTGAATACACAGCACGACAATCAGGATGCTCAAACAAATGACTAGCAATGGACTAGGTAGGTCGTCAAAACCTCGTTAGTTACATGTATGTCCAGTGGTTGTCTCTTGTTGTCGCACTACATGTCGCGCTTATTGAGTTTTCTCGCATTTGCACCTTTGTGTCATTATTGCAATTTTCGCTGTTTACTTTAGCTATCTTCTTTCTTTCTTTCTTTTTTTGCGCTGTTTTACTACCTTCTTACTGTATTTAATCCACTGTTCCTGTTCCTCGGTGAGGAAGGACGTCCTACCTACAGGCCAATTATCCAAGTTGATTTATCACTTCGAGTGTCGGCAATGTGAGAGCCGATATGTAGGTAGGACTTTCTCAACATCTGGACGCACGCATCCGACAACACGCACCGCTACACCTTATTCCACAACACGCACGATCCACTCGACCACGGAGGGGACGTCCAGCAAAGAATCATCCTGGTACAAGATGGTCCAACGCAGCGGCATCAACACCAAGCAACGTCACCTCACAATTAACTAGACCACCAGAAAAACAACCGGACAAGACACCTACTGGCGTGGCAATGACAGGAACCGCATCAACCAGAAGAATGACAAGATCGGCAACGGCGGCGATGGCAGCGACTAAAGTACAGACAGAGGCAACGGCTAGGGTCCACTCGACTAGCCATGTGAAATCGGATATGTCCACCGCACATGCTGATTGTTCTGATGTTAGTTCTGATAAGTATGAGTCGTCCATTGCTAGTCATTTGTTTGAGCATCCTGATTGTCGTGCTGTGTATTCAGATGATTGTTTTTCGATTGTGTCACGTGTACGCAGTGCTAGATTGCTGAATGTTTTGGAAGCTGTATACATCCACACAAGGAAACCCAACCTTTGCAAGCAGAAACAAATCAAATTCGCACTTAGGCTGTTAGGTAGGTCGTCAAAACCTCGTTAGTTACATGTATGTCCAGTGGTTGCCTCTTGTTTTTGCACTACATGTCGCGCTTATTGAGTTTTCTCGCATTTGCACCTTTGTGTCATTATTGCAATTTTCGCTGTTTACTTTAGCTATCTTCTTTCTTTCTTTTTTCTTTTTTGCGCTGTTTTACTACCTTCTTACTGTATTTAATCCACTGTTCCTGTTCCTTTTCCCTTGCCTGTATTTCACCTGATGAGAAGGCTTGAAAGTATACTTGTGAAGACAAAAACTTTCAAGATGTTTGTAATGAGACTGAAGTGTGTTCTTTTTATGAGTAATATTGTGGAAAAGTAGTCAATTGAAGGCAAAATGAGTGCAGATTGGTATGGAATGGTATGCTATTTTTTATTTTAATTCACCAATCGAACAGGCATATCTGCCTTCTTGCCAGGATGGCCAGAGCCAACCACGGCTCTTACTACAGGTAGACTCCCTTTAATTCGAACCTCAAATTGCCAGGCCCAAACTTCGAATTATCCAAATGCAGCCCCATGTACTGATATGTATGTCAAAATGCTTGAAATCGCATGCTGAATATTTTTTGCACATTTTTATTTGCATCAACGAAACATAGGTGGTCGTACCGGTCATGTACAACGTTAACGGATCATCAAAACACTGGATCGACACAAAATCATTTGACATTATCTTCATCTTCTAGTGAAGAAGTTGTCAGTCACTGCAGCTTTCCTGAAACATAATTCAACGGAAAAGAACTGCGCTGCCTAATCCTCGTCATGAAAGGCCGTCGGACACCAGCACGTCGTTCTGAAGAACGGAAGTGGAGCATAGGCATCGACAATATTTACAACAATAGTGTTGCTGTGCGCCAACATCTCCGCGCACGAGCTGGCACGGCAAGAAAGGCCATCGAGATCCGCGAAAAGAGTCAGCCACCAGGAAGAAGTCGTCTTCAATCAAACCTTAGCAATTTGCCTCGCACTGGCTTGAAAGAAATTTCGAGAGAAGGTGGGTTTCTTGAACGCTATAGTCGATCCTGCAGCGGACCATCAATCGATTGTTGAGCTACTCTTGGCTAGAGAAGGAGAAAAGAATGAACCTCAAATTACAAGGATAGCAACTCAATCTCACTTCAAAATAAGCGTTCAAAGGACATAGCCAATTAGGCCTTGGCGGATAATGCCGGCAGAAAAATTGGCAGAATTCGGTACTTCTTCTGGTAAGTTTCATGCATGTTTGGTATGTGGATAAAGAAATGGAGCAGAATTCGAGGAATTGCCCGCCATAAGGTTTGTATGGTTCTGCCAATTTCGGTGCAAAAAAAGCAGAATCTGCCACCTTTTCGAGCATTATCCGCCAAGGCCTATAGCCAATGTACTGTAAACAGCTCTTCTGTACGAAGACTGGGTTCGAATTATCCAACCGGCGCACTTTTCGTACTTCGAATAATCGAAATTATGCATTCGATTTTGACTTGAAGTGACTTGCAGAAGATCGGTACGACGAAAAAGTTCGAATCACGCGGAATGTTCGAATTATACCGTATTCGAATTAGA